CATTCAACTTGTTCCCCTACTAGTGCAACGCTTGAATTCTGCTGACTGTGTCCTTGCTAACACTTCATGGTAGGTTCCCAGCTGAAGTACTTCCAATGCCTACTTTAGATCATCTTTTAACCCCTTTTCAAAACGTCTCGCATTTTTCTCCTTAGTGTTTACCTAGTTAGAGGCATAATGGGATAACTCCTCAAATTTTCGCTCGTACTTAGTTAAAGACATCAAGCCTTGAACTAAATTGAGAAACTCTTTCTCCTTCTAATTGTGGATACTCGTATGGTAGCCCTTTCTCAGAATTGTTCATTGAATTCGTTCCATGTCAGATGTGTCCGGGGGTCCTCAACCTTGAGGTTGAGTCCCACCAATGCATATCGCCTTTCTTAAGCATAAATGTTGTAGAAATAATCTTCCTAGTGTTTGGGCAATCAATGAGGTCAAAAATTCTTTCTATTCCGACCAGCCAATCACCTGCTTCCAATGGATCTTTACCATCCTCGAAGGTTGGGGTTGTTGTTTCCCGAAAAGTTCTACCACAACAACAGTATTATTCCTGGTGTCCTCGTCACCACTGGTGCTTGTGGTTGAGGTGGTTGTGTTGGTGATGGTGGTTTCGGTTGTTGTGGTGGTGTTTGTTGCGGCTAGGGCTGTTAACGGATTGAATTTTGATCCGAATTCGATGAAATTAATGGGAGATAAATTTAGAGTTTCAGTCCAATAACCCTATCAAGATTGAATCTGATAATCCGTTAACTAAATGGATCAAATATGGATATAGGATAATCCGATCCGATAACAATGCGATCCGATTTTTTATAAATAGTTGAGTCGGCAAAATATTTTTATGGCATGTTATTTGTCACTAAAATAAATAAATAAATTTAGAATAAAAAATTCATCAAATTCAAAACATATTATCTGTCTTTAAAATAAATAAATGAGAAAATAAAAAAATTTAGAATAAAAAAAGGCATCAAATTCAAAACATAAAAAAAAAATAAAAAAGTCAATCCATGCGTACACAGTGTTCTAAAAATTGTAATGTGTTGCGAGGTGTGGAACTTTTAGGCTAGGAGAGTCTAGACGAAGCCTAGCGTAAAAAAATAAAAATGTATTTTCTTATTTTAATATTATTTTAAATTTTTAATCAATCTAAACATTATTTAATAATATATCCAAATTATAGTACGAAATGCAGTTTTAAGAGTTTAAGAAAATAAATATATTTGATAAACAAGATATAGTATAATAGCGCTAATTAAAATAATTGGAGAATTTTAAAATTTTATTAATCAATAAAAGATAGGAAAAATGATAAATTTAATAAATTATAAATAACTATTTTATAAATAACTATTTATATAATAATATAATGAACTATAGTCAAACAAATTGTACGATACACTATAACCAAACCAAATGTACAATGTACTACAGCCAAATCAAATGAATTTTTATCCTACATTGAAATTTTATAACAAAATACTTGAATGCATCCTCTATAAATAAGCGAGTCAATAAATGGGTAAGCAATTTTTGGTTCATTTCAATCCAATTGACTAAAAATTTAAAAAGTTGAAAAAATTATAATTATTAAAACCATTCAAGAATTGGAAAAAATGGAAAAAAAAAGTTAATTTCAATATTAATTTTATTTTTCTAATTTCTTTAATTTCAGATTGGATATCCGATAATATGGCAAATCGAATATGAATTTAAAAATCAAATATCCATTAAATTATTGGATTAGATCGGATAATTATTCTTATCGGATTGGATCATATACGGGCAAAATCAATCCATTTACAGCCCTAGTTGCGGCGGCATTATCGCTTGGAAAAACGTGCCCATCACATCGAGAAATTGTTGAGCAAACTGTGGTTCAGCGCCATTATTACTAGGGCAGTTGGGATTGTTCGCCATTGTTTGCTCTCCTACATCAGGGTGCCATAACCTTAACAAATAATATTGCAATAAATAAAGACTGAAAGGAGAAAATAGTGTATTTTATTCATAGAATCTTCATAAGTTCATAAAGGTACGTAGGACATATCCAACATCTAAGTAAAAGGAAAATCTATTGGGTAAAAGGACCACAAGGTATACCAAGTGCCCATGCAAACATAGAAAATCATATGCTAGAGCAATAATCTAAACATAAGACTATAACCTAGTAGTTTTTCTCAGTGCTCTCATCAGGGCCTGGTTTTGGATATTCCGAAGGGTCTTCTTCCTCCCAAGGGTCTCCGGGCACATGCTCTATTATGTTGCCCTCACTGTCTACCTCCGGTATTTCGTTATGACCGTTCCCATCAAGCACGGTACAAGGGTAGCGTCGACAGCGATCTGGTTTGTATCCCTCGTCTTCTCAATAACTCTATAATCCTCGCAATATCTTTTTTGAAGGCCCTTAATAAGGTGTACGACAAATATTTGGTGGTCATACATTTCATCAAATTGTTCCACGAAATTTCTCTAATATCCTATAAGGGTTCTAAAGAGAGGAAAAAATGCATCATCTCTGCTAAACTCGTGTCCATCGAATCGAACCCCTCGGTAAATAGCCTCTATAGCATCCAAATGCTTTAAGAGGTTGTGGCTTGGGTTTCGTGTATAAAACCTAAGAAGGTGCAAGAACCTTGATCGATTCTATTTCCCAATCCCTTCTCGTTTAGACCTCTAGCCATCTACGAAATGCATAAAAGACTTAATTAGTATCACTATTCATATTTAGGATTTCAAAGGGAATAAACTTACCCAATTTCGAAGTTTTGAAATTTTCCTAAAATGGAAGTTTCTAAAAATGGAAAATTTTCAAAATCGGGTTTTCTAATAATAGAATTTTCGTAAAGGAGGAATTTCTTGAAATATGATTTCTAAAATAGAATATTCTTAAAAGTTTCTGAAAATAAGGTTTATGAAGATGGGGTTGTAATATTATTTTTGTTCTATTGATTTGAATAACGCTCAATTGAGTGGCTTCCAAGTAAGGAGGGGGATCACAAGCGAACCGCTTAAATCCCAAACTCGCCTTAGAAAATTTAAGTCGTTTTGAAAAGCCCTAAAATTTTACGAACACCCAAACCAATAAAACTTGAACAATGAACATGGATTGAAGTAATTAAAGATAATTTTTTTGCTACGTTGCTATGATCATGAAAATTCATAATTTCTATTTCACATAATAAGTTGGTTACCATGTCAAATTATGTATACTTATTTCTTCCTATTTTCACATAAATTCCGAACAATTAGCTAGACACATTTAATGTAAATAATTAAATAAGTTACACATTTTTCTACCTGATAACTGAAGTTTGGACGATTGTCGTTGCCCGTGGTTGACTTTTAAATAAATTTATCACCAATGAATCTTTATCTTGTTATTAGTTATTCTAATACAGTAACTAAAATAATAACTTAAAATTTTATTTTATACATAAAAAAAAAAATTGTAAACGATGACTGTAACTGTACCATCACTGTTCACCGACATGAACATTTTTTTTTTTTTTTTGCAATCTACAGAAATGTAGATTTGCTCTGATACCACTTTGTGACACCCGAATCCTAAAACCCGAGAGCCATAAAAAAGAAGATACTCAAAAAAACTTATTTAAAATTCATTTCATATTAAGAAAGCCAACTTATAAAAAAAAACCAACTTGTTCATGATATTTAAAATTTTCAATTTAAAAAAAAAAACTTAAAGAAACTTCAAATTTATTTCTACCACCACGGCCAAGTCCAATCTCCAATCTTTCCAATGCCTAGTTACCTAATGAGGAAAAACTTGAGGACAAGAAAATCTCAATAAGCATATACTTAACTTATAAATTTCTAATCATGTAACTTTTGAAATCGTAGAAATTGCATATTGACTTAATAAGTATATACTTGTTGTGTGGGGAAAAATAAAGGTAATCGCAGAAATTGACTTGTTTGATTTCCACTCCAAAATTTATTGAACAACGTGCGTGCTAAAGATTTTTGTAATATGAAATATGTGCATGTGTGAAAGACGAGTTGTGATAGAAAGAAAGAAGTGAAGTATAAATTTCTTGAAAATCATGCACCAATTTATGGTATTTTGATCATGCATGGGATAAATCCCATAATTTATTCAAATAAATTTAAATACTTAAAGATAATAATATATAACAGAATTTGTGATAAAAGTAGAATATTTAAAGATAATCTTAATATCCAACAGAATATGTAATAATGTTGAATACTTAAAAATAATTTTAACATCCAATAGAATTTGTAATAATGTTTAATACTTAAAAATAATCATAATATCCAACAAAATTTGTGATAATGTTGAATACTAAAGAAATAATCATAATATCCAACAAAATTTATTTATTTAACTTTATCACAAAATCTAAGAGATTCTATCACATTGGGATTCAAATATTTGCCCCTTTAATCCCTAAAATATTAGCCAATAGTCAATGAGGTCCCTAAATTATCTCGTCCACGTGATAATGTCCTAAATTCTAATATAATGACTAATTTCGAGGTATGAGGTGTCACTCTCTTCCCCATAAGAACTGCACCTGCGAGTTTTCCCTTTTCTACATGTTATTCTACTAGCTAGTCATAATATGCTTTCAACTAAAGTCTCACTCTTCACGGGAAATAGTAAATTCAGACACAAAAATCACGTGTATAAAATCTGTAAGAACATGAACTGGCACAAGAGCTGCAAAAATGCACAAGCTGAATTTCACACAATGAAAAATGATACACAGACTAAATTCCATAATTTTGAACATCCAATGACATTAACATCTATCAGGCAAACCTCAGCTTCGTATTCTTAATTTAGTGTCTACATGTCAAAAGAGTCGCAATCATTATTTATTTCGATTGATGTGTAGCACAAAAATCAATTATTTAAAAGAATCAAAATCTTTACAATAGTAATGTGAAAATTTTGCTAGCACGAGGGAGAGTTTCATACGGTAGTCCAGAAATCAGGATTTACTTTCCAGAACTCAGTCCATATTTGAGATGACAGCATCCACAACTTCTTGGGTGGTGCTGTCTCCACCAAGATCTTTTGTCCGATATTTACCTTCTGATATTACACGCTTCACTGCAGTCTCTAGTCGATCAGCAAATGAAGGAAATTGTAAGTGTCTCAGCATCATAGCTGATGAAAGAAGCAAAGCCACCGGATTTGCCTTCTTTTGCTCCAGTAAATTCTCATTTCCTACATTTCCGGCTGAAGCACCTTGCTCAAAAATGGCATGATCAGCCCCCACATTGCCTGGAAATCATCAATGTTGTATCGATTACTCGAGAGAATATATGAATAAGTTCCATCACATCTTCGTACAAAATTTGAAGGAAAACAATAAGACTATACACCCTTCTGATTTTGAAAGAAAAAGTTTTTTTTTTTTTAAGTTGCTGATTATAAATACATACCTCCAGGCATGACACCAGTGCCTCCGGCAATACCAGCAGCTGTATTTGAGACCAGATTCCCATAAAGATTAGGAGTTACCTATAAAATATGATCTCACTCAGAGGTCAGAAATTGAAGGAGTAGGACACCAAAAGTTCGTCATGGAAAAGACTAATAAAACCACAGCACTTGTTAAGCCTGGATATGTACTGTATTGTAATAAAATAATGGCAGAAGATAAGATCAAATAAAGAAAACACAAATTTACAAACTGAAAGACCTAAAAGAATCTCATGCCAAAAAACCTAAAAAATTAATGTCCATCTCGACTACTCAAAGGAGGAATTCCAAATAACACATACTCATTTGCTTAATTTTGCTATATCACTGTTAATGGTTATAAGTTGTAATTAGAACTAAAAATCCCTTATTCACACTATGATTAGTCCCACTATGTCTGTATCCATGAGGCCTTATTTCTTCTTTCTCAAAATAGCTCTCTGTAAACTTCAAAACTAAAAGATTACATAAGAGTTAAAAATTAAAACGTCAACCATCTTTTAAACTCGCCTTGACTCATTGTCTATACATGAGTTCAAACAGATCCAATGGTGTTGACATCATAACCATGTGCTCAGCTCAACCCTGTACTTCTATAAATTCATTATTGAAATGTAGATATGTAAGATACTTTAAACCAAACACTGGCATCTGGGTTTGCTTCAAACGTTCAATCCATCAGTGTTCTCTAGTTTCTTTCTTCATAGGCAGTCATGCACCATCGGCGATCACTTTTTCACTTAGACCCTACCATTGATGCCCAAAAGAAAGATGAACGTCAATCAACAATTCTATAGACCATAAGCCAACAAATAGGTTAGGTTATGAGCTCTCCAAAGTTGGAGATTGCGCAGACAACTAAGTCCAAATCTTTGTCCACATTTTGATAACAGAGCTTAGAAATAAGCTCGCCAATGTTCTTCAAGCATTAAATTCTAAAGATCAATCACAGAGCAATGAATTAATACTCATGTGCACCTATGCCAGCATCTTATCACCACGTCAGCATACTTTCAACAAGGGATCAACATATTGCTTCACTTAACTACATCTTCAATTAGTATTTCCTCAGTTTCAGTCCTAAAATTAAGAATGGGTACGATAGGTAAATCAAAATACATCATCATTAAGTCCTGTTTAATTGCGAAAATGGTATTTTTCAATATTTTGAACAATAAAAACCTGAAACAAACTGAGGGAACACAAGTTCAATACGACAACCACCAATTAATAAAAAAGCAACATCAAGTGGGAATAACAGGCTAGTGAATAATTGAACCGAAACGAGTAGATTGCCATAGTCCATACCATGACATCAAATTGCTCTGGCTTTGAAACAAGTTGCATAGAACAGTTATCCACAATCATCTCATTGTACTGGATACTTGGGTACTTGCTAGCAACTTCACGGCAGGATTCTAAAAAAAGACCATCTGCAAGTTTCATTATGTTCGCTTTATGCACAGCAGTCACTTTCTTTCGGTTATTGAGATAGGCATACTCAAAGGCATATTTTGCAATACGTTCTGAACAGAACTTTGTAATCACCTGGCAATGTGGCTATATGAGAAACAAATATGCAAGCAAGTCTACATAAACAATGAGATAGATTGGAAGTAAAAAAAAAAACCTCAATCTGTAATGTGAAAAATCCACAAGAAAATCAAGTATCATTTATATAAGTAGCATAACGCGGTCTCAACTCCCAACTTCGTAAACAGCCACCAGGTTTAAATACTACCCTTCCAATTATGTGATGTATCATCCATAAATCAATAGAAACCCATGGCTGCACTTGAAAATGGTTAAATTCAGACAGGAAGACAAATGAGCTAGTAAGTAGTATAAAGAACAAGGAAATAGATTCATCACGAAGTTTTTTATCAGAACACAGTATCTGAAAAAAAAAAAAAACAGTTACCCAACTAAATAGCACAGTTCAAGTAAGAGTTACTATATAATAACATTGGAATTGAGAGATGGAGATCGTACTTGGAACAGAATCATTCAAATTTGAGTTGATTTTATATGAATTCATGTTATGAGGCAAAACCCTGTTTGAATTCTTGGAATGGAACCAAAAAAAGGTTGGGTCATGAGTAGTTTAAAGAAAAAGGAAATAAATTCATCACAAATTTGCTTATCAGAACATGGTATCTGAAAATAAAACAGTTATCCTACAAAATAGCACAGTTCAAGTAAGAGTGATTATTTAACAACATTGGAATTGAGTCATGGAGATCATACTTAGAAAAGAATCATTCAAATTTGAATTGATTTTATATGAATTCAAATTATGAGGCTCCAATTGCACTTTGCTGATTGCAAGTTTGCAACCTAAAATGAAAAACCAGGAAGTGGCATACAGATTGTTCTGTATTCAACACACATTTAAGCCTTGAAATGAATTCACAGGTAAAGAAATCATTAATCAAGGACATTGCAGAGTATGATAAGCACACCCACAGCTTCAATCATTTTAAAAAATAATCGATCTGAAACTTAAAATCAACATTTGAATGCTAAGGAGACAAATTCATCCCTTCACACATTGTTAAGCATAACATGGTTCACTACTTGTTCTAGCCTGTTACATCTCACAAAATTCATTTTCACTTTATATTCAAAGAGCCAAAGAGAATTCCAGTTGAACTTTGTTCGGAAATATCATATTTATTTTTCTATTATTACCTTTCACCTTTCGTCATGCACATCCTAACAAATAACTGAATATAATTTGGGTTAATCATCAAATGTAAATACCAAGATTCTATAACCAGATATTGGTAAAAGGTTTTACCCCAGGTTTACGGGTTTATGACTGTTCCACATCGGTGGCACTAATTTACCAGCAACAAAATAATTCATCAACTGATAATCGATGCAGTTGGAAAATGAAATTCATATAAAAATGCAAAATTGACACTACCTTGAGGCTCTCAACAACACCGGGAACAACCTCGTGCTCAAGCCCCGAGTATTCTCCTTCAGTATTCTCCCGAATCACGACAATATTTACATCCTGGTGGCGGGTTGGGAGCCCCTGCAGATTGAAGCAGTGGACAAGCGAAGCATAGAGATCAAGCTCTTTTCTCAAGAGCACGTTCAAAGAGCTGACACCTCCACCGACGGGAGTCTTCAACCCTCCTTTAAGACAGACTTTATTCTTCTTAATCGAGTCGATCACCTCAGGAGGCACACTCTTGGCGTCACCATGGACCTCGTACTTCTCGAAGTAGACAGGGGCATGCATGGCCTCCATGACCTGCTCGACAGCACCGGTGACGAGTGGGCCGACGCCATCGCCGGGAATTAGAGTAACGGGTCTGGGCGTTCCATCGCCGGGTCGGGGCATGTAGGTGACGGAACGAGTGGCGGCGGTGGGGGAGGACAGGAAGCGTTTGAGGATAGGAAGGGTTCGTCTCGACATTTTTTTGATTTGAGAATTTGCGAATTTTTTATCAGCGAGAGGCCGTTGAATGGAAGAAATAGCTGGTAAAGGGGTCGCAAAGAAGAAGTTGTAGGGTATGTAGTACTTGTTTTGCCATGGACCATGGTTGACCAGTTAGGCCAGTGACACTTGTTTTTACAAAACTTATTTTCAACCACACTTTTTTTAATTAATAATTTTTTCTTACTTTTTAACCACATATTTTCATCATATCACTATTTAAAATACATTCTTTTCTCAATAACATCAATCAAACACTCCCTAAATGTTTCATTATTGACTTATTGGCACAAAATGTCTCTACCTTTGGTCTTTAGTGTATAAAACGTCATTACATTTCAATTTTTTGCATTTTCACCCTTATTCAACTTTTCAAAACATCATTTTCATCAATTTTTATTCAATTACTCAATTAAAAATATAAAATTACAAATATACCCTCATATTTAAGCCTATGTTGTTTCTTATTTTTTATTTTCATCCATAAAAATAAAAAATATGATCGTTATCTATCATATCAAGCCATTAATTTTAAATTTCTATATCTTGTGTGGAGCCCAATAACGGCTATATTTTTAATTTTCCTTCTATAATAATGAAAATCAAACAGGCCCTAATAAGAAAAATAAAAAATTAATTGCAACCATACTCTCAAACCTTTTTAAGAAGTGCAAATGAATTCCAAATAAATTATTAAAAAATTCAAAAAAAATAAAATTGGCTTTCTCTCCCTTTCTTCCCCACAAATCCACCAAAGATCCTACAACTCACAGCCTCCCTTTCTTTAATAAACTTCCAAAAAATTCACCAAATATTCTAAAACTCATCGGCTCAATTTCACTTTAAAATCATCAAAATCTTTTAAAGGATTGTGATTGGGGCTCGATCCTGAGGATGAACAGTAGCGTTAGGACTTGTATTTTCAGATATGACTCCATGGAATTGGTCTCCATGGTGAGGCAACCCGATTGATGGTGGTCCGCAACTATCAAAGTCACCAGAGGTCTGAGTTTTGGTTGCTAAATTGTGCATAACCATGGTGTGTTTTTTTTTTTTTATTGATTTTGGCCTCAATAGTTGTTGTTTGGATTGGAGATTGGTTGAAGATTGTAGGTGGCATGAAACCGCCGAGTGAGGGTTGATTTTCGATGGCAAAGGTGGCGGCAAGGTGGTCGTTGGAGACTTGAAGGGCGGTGGCTCCATAAAAGGCAAAAATCGCCCTTAGGCTAGAGAGAATTGGTGAAGGAAGTGAATGGTTTTTTTTTGGTTTGGGAAGGAAAATAAAGTTTTAAATGTTTGAGATTGTCGATGACACATAAAAAAAAATGGTTATAATTTGCAAAAAACTTAATTTTTTTTTCTTTTTTCGTTGTCTTATTCAAATAGGAGGGTATATTTATCATTTTACATTTTTTAAATGAGAAATTGGATAAAAATTGATGAAAATGATGTTCTCTACAACGAAACGTGGAAATAGGGGCGAAAAAAAAATTAAAACGTAAGGACGTTTTGCACACTAAAGGCCAAACGTATGAACGTTTTGTGCCAATAAACCTTTCATTACATTCAACTTGTACTTTCTCACGTTTTAATCATTGAATTTTAAAATGTCTATGAATGATTAGTGATTCTTAACATATTGCGATCTATCGCTTACTCACTATATTTCATAAGTCACTAAACTTTAAAATATTTCCGAGTGATCATTAGATTTTAACATATTGAACTACATCGCTCACTCATCATGTGTAATTAGTCACCGAATTTATATATCCATCATACTTTACTCATTAAACTTTAAAATGCTAAGTGATCACTGAACTTTATAATCTTTTCGAGTTAAGTTGATTTTTTATGATATTCAACCAGAAGAAAAGAAAATAAATATCGACTAAATAATAAGACTTTCGATTTAAGACAAGAATATTGATAATAATCAAGAAGATATAATTTCTTTAGTCTTCAAAAGTTATGTTCAAAGGAAAAGAAGACTTCTAATTTTAAATTAACATAAATCATAAATCATATCATAATATTTTTTCAGGTCGAGAAAATTATTTTGAGGTCGTAGAACAAAATTAAGAACATCAAAATTATATCTCAGACAAACAATGAAATTTCCATTTAGAATTAATAATATTAATCAAGACTAATAAAATATAAAAGTTGTCACGTGGTATTTCGAGAGGAAAAAAGGACGTTGTCTTTGTGTATGGCATTTTATACTTCAAATTTTCAATTTTTGAACAGTTGAATTTAGTGAGTAAAGTTTAGTGACCACACGAAAATATTTTAAAAGTTGGTGAGTAAAACGTAACGGAGGTAAAAGTTAAGCAACTAATGAAACATGGTGAGTGAAAGATAAAGTACAACATGTTAATGTTTGGTGACGGCTCGAAAGCATTAATAAAGTTCAGCCACTTATGAAACATGATAAGTAAGTGATAGAGTGCAATATATTACAGTTCAATGACAACTACGAAGTATTTTAAAGTAAACGTGACGCAAGTATAAGTTCAGTGACTAATAAAACATTTAACTATATGATTAACCTACAATAAAATGTAGCACCTGTTTGACAACAACCTAAACAAAACTCTTTTTTTTTTCAAACTTATTTTCAACTATACATTCACATGATAAAATATTGTGCACGTAAACTAAAAAAAATTCTTACTTTTTAACTAGACATTCTCTAAAAAATTACTATCCGAAAACTCATTTCTCTGAACGAAAATCATTTAATGGTTGTCAAATGGGGGCACAATAAGCTTTCACTGAAATTATTTGTTTCAATTAAGTTACTAAACTTTAATTTAATTTTAAAGCATTGCCACGATATTCCCCTATGTATATGGACTTATTGCCAAATACCTCTACCTTTTCAAATTGGTGAAAAATCCCATGTATTAACTTTGACGTGCAGAGAAACCTTTGAGATATAGAAAACCCCCATGTTTGAATTCTGAAGTGCAATCCACCCTTCATTAATTTAGGCGTTAAAAAGAGTAAAAATTGTCAAAAATTATAAAGGAATAATTACATGTGTGACCTCAAAATTTTTATTTGTTTACAAATTACACCTAAACCTTTTATTTGTAACACCCACATTCACAGATATTTAAAATTTTATTTTTGTTCCCCAATCCCGCCTCCTCCCCTTCCCTCAAAACGTCATCTTCTTCCCCATCCTCTATCACCTTAAACCTGAATGTTATCAGGTTTTGCACTATAAAATATTTTTTATTTTCAATTCTTTGATGTGCACATGCACCCCAAATTTCTTTGTTATAATATTTTCTACTAGCTTACTTGAATTTAAATTCTGTAAATAGTAAAGAAAATTGATATTTCACTTTTTTTTTTACCCCAAAATAAAGTACGAGGCAGTACTCCTCTGCTATTACCTACCAAGAAAATGAAAAATTAAACAGTTGTTATTTTTGGATTATAATTTCCCCATTCGAACAATCTGAAAATACTTACACTTAAAGTTTTACCTGAATGATTTTGAATAGAGTAACATGACGATCAAAATAATAATTTGAGTCCACCAACTTCACGATGTTTTCCTAAGATCAATTTTCTCCCTTCTATGGTATTTAAAAGTATTTAGCAATCATCTCTCATGATAGAACGAATTTTGTCTTCTATGGAAGTAGGACAACAATCTGCAGGAGTCTCAACGAACTCAATGAAGTGTTTTATACTTTGAAGGACAATATTAGAATAAAAGAAGGAAATGCGATTCAATGAAAAGAATGTTTACAATAAAAATGATGCAAATTTTCTGGTAACAGTACATGCTATTTTAAAAATATATTCATGGTCATTCAAACACTCTTTAAACCTTTTCAGAACATCCCTCACTATTCAAACATCCCTCCAAAACGAGTAGATAGCTCTGTTCTGAAACATTGTATATATAAAGTCTGTTCACAGGTGGTCACACCATATGTCTGTTAGCAGATAATTGGGACCAAACAAGAGCTAATTGTAATTGGCCCAAACAATTTAAATAAATTTTGTCCAAAAAGATATTTATAGGACAATGACCCCCCCAGCACCTTGACACGAACTAAATCGGACCGAACTCGGACACAAGGCACGTGCTCGTGTCAACGTGTGCATGTGGGCTTAGGATTGAACCTAATAGGATATAGGTCTCCCCACTTCCAAAGACCATTGGTACTCTTTGGGGCCCAAATCCAATTGTCAACCTTTAACTATATAAACTACACAAAAGTTTCCAAAGGTTTCCTGTATTGGACAAGAGTTTAGAATTTTCCAATTAAATCAAATTCTTCACTTATTTCAAGTTTCAAGTGGGTATCTTTGAAATCAAATATTTCATTCAATTCTAAATGATTTTCAATAGGTAAGGAGTAGAAAGTGAATATGCTTGGTCCCATTAAAAATAGAGTATGGGCTCCACTGAAATTGGAGCTCAAATTTGACCCATTTAACTAACTTAAAACCATTTCCAACAATTTCCCACATGAATGAAATATATCGAATTTTTCCAAAACAATAACAACAGATACGAATTTTGAAGTATAAATGAAGAAAAATTGCATCGGGACAAGTAGCCGAGAATTTGAACTTTTCCTAGTAAAAATCTATTAGATTACTTGGCCAATCAACAGCAAGACGCTTTGAATAGTTCGTCGTTCTTGTAAACCTAGATAATAGAAGTCACACAATTGGTTCTCACATTTATATCCATTTTTATTTTGGACACCCTAGGTTCATGAGTGTTTTTAGAAAATTTATCTTAAGACAATTCTCGTAGAAACAATCCATTCCCACCTGCATAGGTGATCTTCATAAAGAGTATTCTGTTATACTCCACTTGAACGAATTAAGATATAGAGATCATTAAAAGCATAACATAACGTGTTTCGCATCAATTAAACTTCGTCTCATCATAGGAATGGGTAGGAGATATAATTCTCCCCAGTACATACTAAGTTTTTCTC